GACTGATCCATAAAAGGATGAGCTCCACAGTATGAAACTCACTGGAGGACCATTATGTTAGGTAGGTCACCACGCCCATCCCCATGCCAGCTTCATCCGTTCCCCATTGCATACTGAAGTGCTTTGTCTAATCTAGTTTTAAATTACTTAAAAGTGATGGGATAACCCACCGCTTCTGAGAGACTATCCAGAACTTCAGTAACAGGAAAGGTTTCCTGATAGTCAGTCTAGTTATACACCCCTGCCTGTCTGAAAAACTGGATTCCTCTCCTCCTTGCTCTTTGTACAAATATACCTCTACCCTGATATAATGCGACCCGATTTAACACGAATTCAGATATAACGCGGTAAAGCAGTGCTCCGGGGGTGGGGGGTGGGGGCTGCGCACTCCGGCGGATCAAAGCAAGTTCGATAGAACGCGGTTTCACCTATAACGCAGTAAGATTTTTTGGCTCCCGAGGACAGCGTTGTATCGGGGTAGAGGTGTAGTTGAACAGTAAACAGTTACGTTCCCTTGCCAAATGGCAATAATTTTAGCTAATCTTTGAGTTTTCTTCTCTGAATTCCTTCCAAATTAATGCCTGGTAGTTGAGGTAAATAATTCTTAGCTTTGGTCTCATCAGTGCTGGTACAGAGGGAACACCACGGGAATAGCCCATGAAGCAATACTTCTGCCCATGCAACCCAAAATTGTCTGTATTTTGGCTTCCTTACTGCATTGTAACCTGCTATCCAATTTACTGTTCACCGGCTCTCCTAGCTTTCTTTTGGCATCACTACTTTCCAATTATCTTCTTTCCAAAGAATCTCTGAGTTTCGGATTATTATTGCCCAGGTGCATTCTCTTGTATTACTCTTGACTGAATGACACTTCCCTCTGTCCCCTCCAATACTTTTATTACAGTTCTTCTTCCAGTGAATTTAGTGATTGAGTCCAGGAGACTGAAATATGAGGTACCAAATAAGTACAGCAAATATCAGTAGTGCAAACTTCTTCAAACCACTCTCTGCCCAACAAAACCTCAACTTTGACCTGAAGGGACAACGTCTATCGGAAAAAGAGTCTAATTCACAGTTCTCATTTGGTTATTTCAGGTCTACATTTTTAACCTCTCTAGGCCCCTGTGTATTATTTCTCCAACTCCATGATATTTTCCACGGTCTCCCCATTTTTTTGGTCCGGTTTATTGTACAGTCAAACTTGGCACTAATCTGCTTAAACCACGGATTCCTGTGCACACTAAAGCAGCACCACTGGTGCTTTTAAGGTTAATTTTGTGATAACTAACAGAAACAAGAATTGCCCAGTCAGAATTTGCTGCTGCATGTGTCTGGAATCAAAGGCAAAGCTCCAAGTGGCAGGAGGTTGGGGAGGAGAGGGGGAAGCAGAGAGAGACACCTTGTATAATGAAATACTTTCATATTAAATTAACTGAAAAGTCATTAGAAATAAACAAGTTAAGTAATTCTGAATCACAAGTTTGAAAGGAGTCATGAGAGAGGGAGAGAGAAAGGAGATCTGCATGGCCCAAACGGATTAAACAAGATAATTATTTTAGCATCGCCTTCGCAGAAAACATTGCACTGAACTTGAGAAGTCTTCTGAAACAAAGGAAAGTGGAAGGAGCCATAACAGATATTTTACAAAGATAGTACGTTGTCCTTAACAGCAGTTTTAGAGCCAGAACAAAGCAAGAGACAGTTTCAAAGCACAGCAGTTTTCCCCGCTCACTTGTTTGTTCGCAGACAAGCTGTTTCCTTTCATCTGGAAAAACTTACACAATAAGGAGAAAAATACCTCAGTAGACTCTGACTCTATAATAAACAGAAAGCCCAAGGGGCAGTCCGTGAGAGAGCTCTTTGGCCAGCAACGGATCATTCGGTGCTTGGATGCTCAGAAAAAGCAGACACTTCTTCTGGGCTTAGGCTGATGTATATCCTACTGCTGACTGAAGAAGCTAATAAGTTCGTGCAGGTATTTCTCATTCCCCCTGAGAAAGTAGCAGCCCCTCTAGCTCAGTGTGGAAGCAACTGGAGGAAGTGTGAGCAGGGAGATAACATGCAGATGGAGACAGATGTGTGTCTATACACAAAGCTTGGGTATATCCCTGTAACAATGTATTAAGGTGGTGGTGGTGGTGGGGGGGGTTAGGGGAGGAAGAAGAAATCGGGGCCACAGGGCCAAGACCAAATACTTAATTCGGATCTCAGCATAGCCGCACTGTGGCTGAGAAGATTCTGTAAAAACGTCGCTCTGAAATATTGTTTTGATAAAAATGCCTCTCCTTGTGGAATTCAAATCTCCAACTGTTCCACTGGCACCAACATCTCTGCAGTAACAACACATGCCACAGATTGTGAGTTAACTCAAATTACATTTCAGATCTGGGGAGGGGAGGATGTCAGTGGGAGGTTTATGAACAGTATGCTCCAACTCTGATGTTGTTATAACCAGATGGCTTCAGCTGTATCATTTACAATTAAAAAAAAAATAAAAATAAAGAGTGTGTGAAGTTGACAAATAAAGTGTTAATTCAACTGGAACAATCTGAACAAGTAGCCGCCTCCATGCATCCGAATACAGAGAACTTTCACGACACTGAATGTACCCTGGAGACATATCTGGCCCTACAGGAAAGGCTGGGATAGACAAGTCCCAGAACTGATTACCTTCCTGCAGGTATATCTCCATCCCTCTGGGAAAGAGACGGCCAAATCTGTATTTGCTTTCCAGTAAGTACCTCCCCAAAGAAGGGGTGGGACAAGTGATGCCAAGACCCATTTACCTTCTTGTAGGCATGTCTGAATCCCCAGGAAAGGCAGAGCCAGGGAGACTCCCAGGACAGTTGGTCATGCTATCCCAACGGGTTGAAAGCTTTGTGGTTTTAACTTTTCAGTAAACAAAGCTTCCTTAGAATAATTAGACAGCTTTATGCCTCTCAATTAACTGGCAGCAAACTTTTAAAGTTAGAAAGTAGTTATAACTTGGGGATGCTAGTTTGCAGCTCTTACAAGGCTGGAGCAGTGGGGAGAATGTGAACAGTTGACTACATGCTTCGCTCTACCTAAAAGGAAGTGCATACTAAATCCCTCACACAGGTTTAGTCAGAGTTTAAGCAACAGATATATTATGGGAATTTATGAGCTAAGTGAAATGTGGAAAAGGCAGTGTGTATGCTGAGAACCTAGCAAACAGGGGAGGGTATGGGGAAACACTTTCCTGCAAGTCACCATTTGATAAAAATATAGACAGTGTCAGGATTAAAAAAAAGGGGAAAAAAAAAACAACCCACGAGCATTTGAGTGGAGGTTCTTTCTTTCACACAAGAGACAGAGGCTGTGAAAGGGAATCATAATAGAATCAGAAATTAGAAACAAAGTCATCTAATCCATTTCCCAGACAAAGCTAAATTGTTCTCTATAGTACATTTCATGCCCTGTCTGGACATCTTGAAGCCAGAACAGTTTCCCACCATCCTGAAGCAGTGTGCTTCAATTTAATCTCCCTGGATATCTGGGCCTAATGATGGCCCAAACAGATGGCCTCTCTCCCCCGCATTCAGCCATCCAGCCTTTCATACTGCTGTTATAAATCAGTTGAACAACTGCGCTCCCTTCCCATTTATATATAAATACAGACACAGGTAAGGCTAGGGATCAACTTCATTGAGTATTAAAACAAAATTTTCTCAGGTATTTTGGCAATATCTGCTAAGAGGAATAAAATGTAATTTGGCATTGCAGCTCTGTGCACAACCTCCCTTAATAAATCCCATTTGGATTCTGGGAATGGGCGTGTCAGTATATACCCCAGCAGACTGAAACTGAACGCTTGGGGAATTGGTTTTCAACCAGGAGGAGTCTAAAAATAGAGGGAACAAGAAAGACAAAAAAAAAAGATACCACACAGTACAAAATAGTAATTATTTATATTTTCAAAAAGAAAAAAAATTACCAGCTATTTTGGAACTTCTTCCCTGTAAGAAGAGTGACTAATAGAAAGGAACAGGACTGGCTCCTAGACAGTCAGCAAGTCGGGTACAAACAGTTGATCAGAATCATTTAGCAACTCAGGATAGGAACCTTTGACGCAGCATTCATGAACAATAAAACTTCTCCTTTTTTTTTTTAAAAAAAGGGGGAAAAAATAAAGCAGGGAAAAATGCCAAAAACATTTCCCACAATATCTAAAAACAGGTAACCATTGTCCTCGTCAGACAGCACACTTCAGATCAAGGATTTGCCAGTCCTGGAAAGCCAATGTAGATTTGCAAAGGCTGCCTTTAGTCTATTCACATCCTCTTCAGCACACAGCCTTTTGCTGTCCCTTTTCACTTCAACTTGTCATTTAGTAAAAAGTTTTTTTTTTTTTTTGCAATCAACATACAAGTGCTACTAACAGAGAAACTGATCTTCTTGTTGCTGAATGGCATTAAGGAGTTACACAAATGTCCTGTTTTTAGCACAGCTGGAAGGACTTAAATTCTTTTATATAAATACTACTGGAGCTCCCACCATGTACTTCCTCTTCGAAACCTCATTGGAAATTCTCTTCTTTTCCTACTCTCTCCAAAACTAAAATGTCCTCTTTGCTCCAGGTGTCTGACGATTTGTTCTGTGCTGTCAGACACAGAGACATTATTTCCCGCCAGTACCACTACTGGGATAGTCTGAGTGGGCCGGTGCTTAAACAGAACCCCGTAGTTATTGACTCAGCCAAGTCGAAGGGAACACACAGACGATGCAGTGACAGGGATTCATTAGGTTGAACAGCCCCTGAGCCCCAGGCCCACCCTCCCCCCTCTCCCCAAGTTACTTGGTGCTGTTTTAAAAAGTCTGGGTGTCACGAAGCAGTCTTTCCCCCCACAACAGAGTAAAAGCTCCTCAGATTGCGCTGTCTACTTGGTGGTCAAGGTCAGAGCAGCAATGGCTGCTGCTGCTTCCAGAAAAACATGGGGTCATGTGACAGGCACGGCCTTAGGATTGCTTCAGTCGCTTACGTGGTGGTCCCAGGAAGGGACACTGTGCAGAGGCCAAAGAGCGATATGCCTCAGCCACCAAATGGGGATGTGATACCACCATGGACTTCCATCCTGAGGTCTCCATGACATCAGAAGCATGACTAGAAAGAAAACAGAACATTAAAAATCTGGAGTTATTGATTTTGCTGGGTAAACAATATTAAAACAGATTCTTTTCACATGCCCTGAGGAAGTTCTCTCTCTCTTGTTTTGTAATCTCTCTTGTTTAGTGCACATGTTATATCACTTAGTGTATGTTCACAAGTTTTGGTCCTGCTGGTCTAGCTTTTGCTTTGCACTGTCCCTTCAGCATGGTAAGATTTAATGATCCAAACATGAATGTTCCAAGGCCAGAAAGACACAATGTATCTCTCTTTTAGCCCCTATTCATGACAAGAGATACGATTTCTCCACATATACCACATAGCTGGGAGACAAGACAATTATCGGCTACCACCACAGAAGATTTCAGACATTGATATAGTCAATTTTACTTAGGAAAATATCTGCTATATTAATATTTGTAAATGTTAATGACTTCTCTCCCCCTCTAGTGGTATTTTACATTTTAAAAGTTCTCACCAACACAGAAATGGCGAGACAGTTCAATAGTCTACAGAACTCCTCCCCTGAACTGACCCATAGATAACTCATTCATTCATCCTTAGAAATAATGGCATTTTCTAGGATGCCAGACAAATTTATGTTTGTATTTGGGTACTATAGACCTGTAAGGTTAAAGAAGATCACTACCCCCACCCTCTGGGTTTATTAGTCACAAGAGGACTGGAGTAAATTCAGTAGTTTGTTTTCTCCTCCAGTTTGTTTCATTCCTGCTCCAAGGGTGAGACTGGAGCAAACTTACTAGTTAATGAAGTCCACAGCTTGAGTTTTTAGCTGATCAGCACTGTGTAGGTCAGCCAGGATGAGAATCTCAGCTGCGTTTTCCACAGACAGGTTACTGCACAGTGCATCCTCGCACATCACCTTCAAGCGTTCCAGAGCATACTGCAAAAAAAGAAGCCAATTTATGGTTACAATGGAGAAAGCCTTAATTTGATCTGCACTGAAGCTCTATTTGTGTTGCTTCTCCCTTCAGTTACAAAGACTATGCTATCATGTTGCACAGACCTCTCCACTTTATTAGTTACACACACATACAATCTGTATTCATAAGAGGCTTCTGACCAGCAAAAAGTAATAGAGTAATTATGTGCCCACCCTGAGCAGAGGAATGGACAGGCATCATACCCACCATAACTCTTATCCCAGCCTTCTTGTGTTACAGCATTACAGGTATCGTTGTCATGCTTAAGGATGACCTGGAACTCTCATTTTAAACTCCTATTATCTCAGATATTTTACACCACATATTGCTGAAACCTAGTGCTTCTCTTACCCTATTGTTACACAGATGGTTCTTGTTCAGTGGACAAACCTATGCTATGGTAAATGCTCCATAGGTGTTCTTACATTCCAGTTTTCACTCCGTTTCTTTGCCATTAATGCTCTGCAAGTCAAGATGAAGCTTGCTCAAACACAGAGTACTACTTTTATATTAAAATGTTAAACAGAGGCCCTTTCTACCTGTTTCCTTTGATAATCCAAGTAGAAACTGAAAGTATCATAGCACATCTGAAAAGCATGGGCAAAAGCCCTACTCTAACTTGTGTTTCTCAAACAGTTTCTAGTCATCCTGTGTTGCAACAGTCTCAGTAGGGCCAGGTCAGTAGTCTGATAAGAAACTGAAAGGGAACACTAAGAAGAAGAAGAGCAGCTATCAAATCTCACACATCACTTCCTGCAGCACCTGAATCTGTACTGAAACAATCTGTAGGCACTATGATCCAGGTTTTGAAAAGCAACCAATGATCTGGAGTGCTGAACTTGACAGCTTAAAAGGATCTGATTTTTAGAAAGTGCTGAGCATCCAGCCTTTTAAAGTAAGACTTTAAAAGTCTTTCAGTTGGGCACCAAAAAGTTGAGGCACTTAGAATCACAAGTCACTTTTGAAAATCTTGGCCTGTGTGATCTGACCCTGGAGTTGATGTCTTTTGGATGAAACAAAACTGAGGTCCTGACTCATTATGAATCTCACGACGCCCTTCACAAGTATAAGGCCAGCAATCCCAGGATTCTGACCAAATTCTAACTTGCGTAGTTACATTCAGACTACATACATTCTCCTAATACTTAAACATGGTAAGGTTTTCTCACTTCTTATCTTAAAATGATGAGTATCATTATTGAGTGTTGTTAAAGAGCTGCTGCTTTTCATCTGAGAGGTAACTACACTTCAGTGGTGGATACAATGATCCTTGTGTATAGTTTATAGTGTTTCTTGGAATCCTTTGGGATGAGAAGCTGTATTAATGGCAGATCCTCCATGCGTCTGACAAAGTGGGTATTCACCCACAAAAGCTTATGCTCCAATACATCTGTTAGTCTTTAAGGTGCCACAGGACTCTTTGTTGCTTTTTACAGATCCAGACTAACACGGCTACCCCTCTGATAATTAATATGTGAGAGACTGTGTATGAACTACTTCTGGACTCATAAGGACTGCTTAGTTTACCTACAGTAACTATAGTGCTGGTGTCTACCTCATTTTCGATGCTCACTGTATGAATTGCATTGTGTAAACCTAATTTTTAGACATTCTGGTGGACTTTATTCCATTATAGTTAAGGTTAAAATCAATGGCTTCATATAAGAAAAGACATTTTTCATTTATAAAAAACTTGGTAATAATGGTCCTTTCAGCTTGAACCATGGCACTCACAGCAAAGACAGTTTTCCCCTGCCAAAGAATCTAAGGGAGGATGGCAAGTCTGTTTAATAGTTTGACCTCTATGTGAGAAAGGGAAATATACAAATTAAGCTAGTAAATTCTAACTGAAAGAGTTTCAACTAGGGGACAAGGAGGATGTTTTGCAATCAGTTATTCCATATTATTGTCTGTGTTAATAGAAGCTTAAAATTATTTTCTGTGTATACTGAATACATTTCTTTCCCCACATACAATTTTCATATGGTTTTTCACTACGAATAACAGCTCCCAGTGATGTAACTGGACAAAAAGTAGACATTCTTGTCTCTCAGGTACAAAGTTTTTTTTCTTTCTTTCTTAATTACACTTTTGAAAAAACTGCCTAATAGCGTCCTTCCCCAAGAGACTGAAATAGTGTCTCCTGGGTTTAGAAGACGTGTTTTGTTTTGTTTTGGGTCTAATTACATATTTTCCCCCAAGAGACTGGAAGAGTTCAGAAGAAGCTGTTTCAGGTCTCTTGGGCAAATATTAGATGTTTTATATGCTTTCATGAAAGATTCTGTTTCTGCTTTTAAAAAGACACATGAGGAGTTTAAAGGGAAATGCTATATTAAAAGGCAAGAAATTCAAATTTAAAGCTGACTCTCTGCCCTTAATATACTTCTGCTGTTTATTTACTCTTGCCTCAGTTACAGATGGTATCTGAGCTTTCAATCAATATTATTTAAATACAGAATAAAACACATGGCAATGGTTATACTGTGCCCGAGGATCTGCTTGTATTATTCCCCATTTTAATTCTAGTTATGCCGTTACGAAGCCCCCATATGGAGCATTTCACTTCCACATCACCAGTTTCAATTAGGCCCTGGTCAGTAGTGACAGGAAGTGGTTACTATTTGATGGCTGCATGGTGGTTTGTGTGGAACAAAGTTACATGCATCCACATCTTAAAATCCACCAGGCTAATTGGCACCCACAAGAGAATCCAAGGACTGAAGAAGCATGGAGACTGAACTACGCTCTCACCCCTAGAGGTGGTCCCTCCAGGTCAGAGTTGAGGCACAATGGCAGGGCAGTGTGGAGAATCTTGCACTGCTGCTACCCGTGCTGAACCTGTTTGGTGGATAAATAGAGGACTTTAGTCTCCAGTGCTGTCAAACTGGCACCTTTCACCAGCACTAAGTTCACTTTTAAAAGCAAAAGAAAGGAAATAAAAATTCTGGTTACAGATTAAGAATTTCCACCAGTAAATATGACTCATAGGCCAGCAACGCATCTTCTGTCCTTGGTGCTCCAAAGGGAGGTGGACAGAGGCTGGCAGGCTAGGCCACTGCAGTGCTCTTGCCAGACAAGGACTACCACCAGCCCTCAAGCCAGAATATCCCCGATACTTCCCTGCATTAGCCCTGCAAAGTCACAGCAGGGTTAAGGCAAGATGCTTCCTCCAGTAGACCCATTTCTCCTCAAACTGCAAAAATCATTCTCCATCTCCCTTATGTTCAGAGCATCCCTGCTAGAAGCTGCTACTACCAACCAGCCCAGAGGGAAAAGCCAAGACTAAGACGATGATCCCTGTCTGGCAAAACAGAATGCTACTTTTGAGATTCAATGCCCTGGCCACTTAGTTCTGGTTCCACTCTGAACTTTCCTCCTATCTCATCCCCAGCTCATATGCTAGACTATGATGAACAGAGATTAACCCCGAGTTCTAGGACAGTTTTTCAAATGAGCACTTGTGACAAATATTTATGACCATCATGAATTTAATAGAACAGAGGTGCTCTATCTCCTCTCACTACTTGAACTGAGGACAGAACGGTTTGCATTAATTCCTCTTACGAGTTACATTTTGTATCTCTATCATTTTTCCTATGTTATATAAGACTAGGTCCAGTTAATAGGAGCAGTTCAACAGAACTGCCCAGGTGTTTGTTTCAGCAAGAAACACATGCGCATTAGTGCACGTGTGCACACATGCTCATTTAACCTCACCCAACACTCCCTTAGTACAGTTCAAGGATCTCTGCGAAAACATCAATGCCGCAATCTCCAAGGCTCACCATGTAAAACAAGGCATATGTCATTGCCAATCCCCCGAACAACCACAAATCCCAACTGTACCTTGTCAGCAGCTGCCAGCAAATCGTCAGCCATTTTGTCGAGGTTTGGTGCCTTCCCCGTGTAAATAAAGCACATCATTTCCTTAAAAACTTCAGGTTCCACATCATTGATTTCAACCCGATTCTGTTTCAGGAGAATGAAGATTATTAAGATCCTGACACAATGCTAGAGACAGATCTCTTTACACTAGAGTTTTCTCAATTTTAAAAGTATTTATACAGAGAACTCTTAAGCAACATGTACTACTCACAAAAGTGTGTAGAGGGAGTAAAAAAGGTTCTGTTTTATTTAATAGCCTCTAATTGTCCCTATTCTACCGCACACTCTTTATCAAGCGTAACAAAGATCACAACTGTCTCATTGATCTTTCTTCCTCCCTCCAGGGCAGCTAAAACAGAGTCCTGTATCTAATATGAAAAAAACCCCAAAACGTTCAAAAATTTGCACTATGAGTTACATCAGCTGCTACCTGGCATTATCAAGTCATCAAGGATATTAAGAATTGACCTGAGATCTATTCACCCAGCTGGGAAAGCTCCTTCTCTCTTTAGACACTTACCTTTTTACTTTCTTCCATCTCATGTTCAAACATGGCACTGAAAACTGGGGAACGTGCTGGGGGGGAAATAAAACAAATACGATTAAAATACTAGAGATATAACCGTCAGCTCCTCTGGGGGAGAAGGGGTAATACCCAATAGCTTTCCCTCCCCAATGTCCTTGGTATTAAGACAGGAAATATTACAAGATAGCAGCAGTCATAAACTCAAAATACTATTACACCTATAAACTCTTTTGGTGACCCAGTGTCAATGTAACTTTTAAATGTGTAACTCAGGATTCCCTGTGGCCCTTCAAACAAGGCTGAAGAGCAAATGCAGACATCTATTGCAGTTAAATATAGTTCATGGACCTAAGCAAAGATGCTTCAGAAAAAGCTGGTAACTTCCCTCTGCAGCTGCTTTGGGGGACACAATACAGTGTCAATCACAAACATCCCTCCTCACTATTCTCATCTAGTGAGGAAGCAGGCAATTCCATTGAAGGGGAGGAGAACCCCTCCCCCATCCCCAGCAACATTATGGCAGTAAATTAACTGCCATATCCAAAGCAGGATCTTTCACTATAGAACTATAGTTGGCAGGGATCTGAGGCACCTTTTGCTGCTATTTCCTGGAGCATTTTCCTAAAAGCAGAAGTAACTCAGACTTATTATGAGAGCACTCCATCTGCCATGATGCTGCTGTCTCCCATGCTGCTAAGACCTGCACAAGTCAATACCGACCTGCCAGTATGGCTTTGTGAGCCTGGAACTCCTGGCCTGCAACACACAGACAGCAGTCTGTGAAGCGAGAATTCTCCCAGAGTCCTCCTAACTCATCCGCCAAACGGCACTCAGGTACCTTCACCATGTTCATGGTGTTCTGGCCAGAGATATTGACTGAGTCCTGTACCACACTCACCTGAAAAGAAGCAGAGTGTTAATTTGTCTACAACGGGCTTCACTTTCCAGGACATGTGAAGGGAGATTGAGAGATCAAACCCTCATCTCCCAAATGAAACACAGTGGAACTAGATATATGCCCACATTGAAGAGCCATCTATATCCGAGACAGCCTCCATCCAAGTCCTCCTCTGCTAGATCCCAAACTAAAGCCACCTCCATCCAATTTGGCAACACCCTCAATAGGACTGGAAAACAGTCCCCATCTTCTGGACACCACTCCTGACCTCGTTCTTTCCCTAGATCAACTTTTTGGAGTCTACCCCATAGATAAGCTTCTTCACAGACAATGCTACAGGCAGCCACTGGAGACAGCGATACATGGGAAAAGTCTCAGATGTACAAACATCTATAATCTAGCACTTGATCCACAGAGCTTGTAACAAGAGCAAAGAGTCTGACCAACATAAGACATATTCTGTGCATCTAATGAGTTGTCTACCCTACAGATTTTTCCACCATTGCTGCCTCTGGTTCAGCTCCAGTATTTCAACCTCTTGCAAAGTTCAGCACCCCCATTTCTTTTACATTGTTACACATCTACAAACAATGAGTTTCTATCTTGGGTAAGAAAAATAGTTACAACTATTATGTATCAAATGGTTAGGGGATTGGAGAACTCAGGGGATTTGGACTGGATCCTTGGTCACTAGTTCTAATCTCAGCCAAGTTAGGTAGCAATCAAAAGTAGCTACCATGTGATGGCTGTGGACGCCTATGTGAAATGAGTTGGCAATGTCTAAGGATAAGATTTTGTCAGAGAGGTCACGGATTCTGTGACTTTCAGAGACCTCAGTGATATTTTCTACTTCAGCTCCATGCCCTTGGGCAACGGGTGCCCCGGAGTTCCCAGCAGCAGCTGCGGGGGCCATGGCGCTGTTAAACCTCCCCCCCCCCTTTTTAGTAAAAGGCACAGACAGGTCACTGGCTTCTGTGAATTTCTGTTTATTGCCCGTGATCTGTCTGTGACTTTTGCTAAAAATAATCGTGTCAAAATCTTAACCTTAGTGAGGTCTTTCCAATTCCTAGTGGACAGGAATCCATATTGCAAGATGTTGAACAAATGACACCTTTTTTGACAGACTCAGATTGGGAAAAGACTGAATGGACCAAATTACTTTCACCCCACAACCCTATAAAATTGAGGAACACTGATAGGGGCAGCACAAGTGAAACTTGGATGGCTGCTGCTGTACTTGTTCTGTCCTGTCCAAGTTAAATTTCAGAATCCTAACAGTATCTGACAAGTGAAGATGGACCTGAAGGAAGGGAAGCTTCTTGATTAAAGAAGAAAGGGAGATTAAGCTTTTGGAGTGAAAGTGGGAGATGCCTTAATAAACCTTTTCCAGTCTTTCCTTGACAAGGTTCCGTAAAAGAAAAAGGCCCTCAATTCTTGTATCCTCCTAACAAGCATTATAGACTCAAGGAACCAGCTTTAAGGAAATAGAGGGAGACCTTCCCGGATAACTCAAAAGGGAGGTTTCATCAATGCTTTATGTCCAAATTAAGGGCCAATTGGCTACAGGATCTGATGGCTGGACTCAGTTTCTTGACAGCTTTCAGGAAGCAGCAGACACCTGTGTACATAAACTATACCATCTTCTTGACCTGTTAAAAAGAGGACTTCCAGAACAGTGACTTGAACTCAAAGAGCTATGACTGAGGCCCTTCTCAGACTCATCTAAGAGGAATTCCAAATCTGAGCTCAGTCATGAATACTCAGGGTCCAGAATTCTGACTTTGAATCAGCCAAATAAGATTTTCCAGATATCTGCATAGTGAATTCCTTCCTGGAATGAAGAAAATAAGTTATCTGGCAAGAATAACCAAAGGACTAATCAAGGAAAGGCTAAACCATCCACTCTCTCCAGGCTGCAAGTATCGATCCTCTGTAGCCAGTTATTTTTCTGGAATTAGAGAGCGATTTAGCAGCAAAAGGTAACGCAGTCAGTCAGGAGATTGTGCAAGTGGTGTTTCACTCTCCGACAGTCCAGAGAATCTCCAAACTAGTGAGCAAGTGGGGTGTGAATTGAAAATGCTAGACAAGGACCATTATTCTCCTCCCCAACTGCATTCTCAACAAATTGATATCAGGGGTCAGAGTTAGAGATGAACAAAGGAGTGGGGACTTTTTAGAAAAGCTAACAAAACAGAGAAAGTGCTGCTGAGAGAGAGAGACAATTAAGCAATCTTCTGGTCTATACAGAACTGACCCATAACCTCATCCCCCGATCCCCCCACAAAAAAAAAACCAACCCCAAGCCCTACATACCACTGACAACCCCCACGCAATAGTCTCTCAACACCAAGTGTTCCTAATTCCTTAGAGAGCTTCTGGATGGGAAACATTCTTGCTGAACGAAAGCACAGCTGCAAGCATTAGCGCTCAGCACCTGTGGCCAGCAGAGAAGTGTTAGAAGAGCATATGGCACACCTGTTTATGTGGTAAGAAACTTACAGCATCAGCAAAAGCCAGCAAAAAGTTCCCTCTCAACAACTTTAAGTTTACAAATTACATTCCCTTCCCCTCCAACATCAGCAACCTATAAACTTAAGCTTCTCTGCCTGCACAATGAATATAGACAGACAGACAGAACAAATCATGAAACAGACAACAGGAAGAAAGGTTGCCATGTGAGACCAGGAACAAATTCTCTTTTTCTCTTGGGTAATGCAGACACTTGGCTCAAGGATACGAAATGACAGCTGGGCAAATAATATTTTGGTTCGCTGGCCATTCAAATAAAATTGAAAAAAAGTTTCAGTTCTGTCAAACTGAAAACAAGTTTTGGTCACCAATGTATAGAAAGGGTATAGAGAAACTGGTAAGGATCCAGAGGAAAGCAACACAGATGATCAAAGGGACTGAATGCAAGCCATGTGAGCAAACGCTGAAGAAACTGGGTATGTTCGGTTTGGAAAAGAGGAGATTAAGGGGGGAATATGATAATGGTCTTCAGATATTTGAAAGGCTGCCATAAAAAAAGATGGAGACAAGTTGTTCTCTTTTGCCACAGAAGGCAGGACAAGAGACAATGGGTTCAAATTATAGCATAGCAGATTTAGATTAAATCTCAGGAAAAACTTCTTAACTGTAAGAACAGTAGGACAATGGAACAGACTGCCTAGGGACGTTGTAGAAGCTTCTTCTCTGGAAGTTTTCAAAAGGAGGCTGGATACCCATCAGTCTTGGATGGTTTAGACACAACAAATCCTGCATCTTGGCAGGGGGTTAGACTAAATGACTCTTGTGGTCCACTCTAACCCTATGATTCACAGAACAGGAAGAGGAGGAGCAGCTGCTGGTGGTACCCTCCTTATAACTTTTAGCCCCGTGGTTAGGGCACTCTCCTGGGACATGGGAAACCTGGGTTCAATTCCTCCCTCTGCCTAATGGAGAAGGGATTTGAAATTGGGTCTCCCACACTGCAGGACAATGCCCCAGCCACCAGCTATGGGATATTCCGGTGTGGGTCTTTCTCCATCTCTCCTCTTGAAGCTGTTCCACTTTGTAACTGAAGCAGGAACTTGAAGTTGGATCTCCCACATCCTTGGTGAGTGCCCTAACTACCAGGATATAAAGTCATACTCATTCTCTTTCCGTGGCCCACTGACTATTCATTGTCATTCATAATACTAATTAAAGGAAAGAGAAACAAAAATTGCTAAAGCTACACAGGCCTCATCCAAAACATTTTCCCAACCATAAAAACATTACCACAAAAATTAAAGCATGGATCCCAACCATGACACAAATGGCTCAATAGTTAGCACATAACTGATAAGTCTCTTAAATGAGGTGTCTGCTGAGGCAAATAGATACAGTCTATAATGTTGGAAGAAAATATGCAGAGGAAAATAGCCACCCTGTACAACTCTAATTGAAGCCTTTCCTTTTTTGGTTCAGGAGGCTGCTGCAGCAAAAGCGAAGACTTTACCCTCATGAAAAATCATGTCCATGATACACAGAAAAAGGGGGCCAGCTGTCTGTACCAGGAACACTAATTTCCGGTAAAGGATGAAGAGGAACAGAATGCAGGGGCTCAAAGAGAGACACTTTAAGAACTAGATTAAAGACCAACATTTTCAGACCTGGATGCCAAATAAAACTATATAACTGTATTTAGGCTCCTAACTTTAGGTATCCTGGTCTGAAATTTTTGGTTTACGGCTCTACAGTGATTTGGAGGCCTCCAAATAGCTGTAGCTAAGATACTGCCCACAGAAAACAGGAAACTAGAGGACAGAGAACCCACTTGAAAATTCCCCACTCTTCTCCTCAGGGAGGCTAGAACACACTCAGAAAACTTAGAAAACTAAAAAGAGAAACCCTTTTCTAAATCTCACTAGTGAATAATTGGAATGCCCATTTCTTATCAGAGATACTCTTGGATGCACAACATTGAGGCTGGGATTTTCAGAAGTACCTTGGTGACTTAAAAGCAGAAGTTCCATTGAAAGTCCATGAAACTTGTGTTCCTAAATCAGTGAGGCACTTTTGAAAATCTCACTGAGCAAACACAATACAGATCGTGTAATATACTAGAAGTAGGATTTTCTAATGCTCTCAGTATTAGCCTAAAGTTTGCTCCCTTTCAAGTTAATGCTCCAACTGAAGTTAATGGTAAAATGTTTGGAACTAGGACAACACTGAGCACTTTTAAAGAGACCCTCCCTAAATGTACTCTTTTGAGAGGGGTCTTCATAACACTTTTGGAAATCCTTCATTTCTCCAAAAAAATATTTCTCACGAGCCAGGTCAATAGCAAAAGATTACTTATTTGGTGTTGCAAGCATAGGCTCTGGAAGAGTATGTCCTTTTGCACATAGAGCAAAATTTCAAGCCATTCATAATCAGTCTAGGAGCTGTTCAATGCGTTCCTGACAGTTTACATAAATTACCACCGCTGTGTCATCCTCAGAGGTACATACTATCCATGTGGCTTGTTCTTGAACTCCAAAAGGGATAGCTACATCTTTCAATTTCAAGATATTGGTGTGCAGTTCTTGCTCCGCTACAATCCCAAACAATTGCAGTTTTTAATTCAAATGCACTCTAACTCACAAGGGGAATCTCTGGTCAGTTTGAACACTGGATTCATCTCATTGTGACAGCCCTTCAGAATATTATTCCTGAGTAGTTAGCCGGTTGAACATCTTCCCACTGAACTGGGCAATAATCAGTCATTAGCTGAAGTTCTCCCTTCAGCTCAGACAGGTATCTGGGGTTTTACTCTATGACACCCCTAGTCTCCTCTACAAAGTTCTTAGGTACCCAAGCAAGGTATATATTTAACAATCAAAAACCGCACACTGCTATAAAGTAAACTTTCCTATTGTAAGAGTGAGGTATGTTGGGTAAGTTTAGGAATCTTCAGATTACATCTGCTCCATCACCAAATTTCTTCATGGGCCCACTTACATTATCAAGTATTTGGGACCAAAAAAAAAACCAACCACCCAAGTTGATTACTATTCCAGTGAGTGTCAAATCATGTGTTGTTGATATAGAACCAGAACTGGAATGACAAGGAGCATCTGAATGTGTTTGGTTGTTGTCCTTTACCTGTGCAGGTGACCTCAGAAACACAGTAACCAAAAATAAATGAAGTGGCAATGTTGTAGTCAGTCACAAATTAAAAAGAAAAAAAAAAATCCATACAGCACTGCAAACATAGCCAACACTCCTCCCCCACAGGGATTCCACCTGTGACTCCTTAAAAACCAATCCTGAAAGAGAGTTGTGAGTATCTGAAGCCAATAGAATTGCTAGCATTACAGCTGAACAGAGAGACTTGCCTCACAGAAGAGAGTGAGTTTGTCATCTGGAAGAAGTCCATTGGCCTCATCCAAGAGAAAGTCTCTTCTAATGAACTTCTTGAATCCCCAGTCCTTGCCCTGTACAAATCGATATGCTCGCTGGCTCTCTGAAAGACAGATATGTTGATTCAAACAAATGCTAGCGCTGTTAGCATGAACAAACATAGAACACAAGTGAATGACCCGAACAGATAAGAGCTACACATACCCATTGCTTTTGTTTCTTCTCCTTTAGCATTGAGGATGGAGAATTTGAACTTTGCACGAACTTCACTCTTTGGACAGCTAACCAATAATAGGTAAAGGGACAGGTAATCTTTACTTTCTTCATCCAAGCCCTTAGGGTTCACACGCAAACACCTGTAGAAATAGACATCTGCATGAGATGTTAGGAACAGTTTTCTGGCAAGGCATTCACAGCTTTCAATGGAAGAGTATTATAAAGTTTACACAATAAAGCGTACAGCAAACAAGTTCTGCTACGCTGATCATTGACTAAGGTAAACAAAACAAGAATACGGTGATGTTTCTTCTAGATATCCTATATGGGCACTCAGGTAGGTCCAGAAATATGAATCTGTCTACAAGACAATTCAAAATCATGAAAGGGCTACCGTACTTATTAATGGTCTCCATTAGCAAAGTATAAAGACCCTAAACTACAGAGACAGATCCTGATGTCTATGTTGTATGCACCCAAACACTGTGCCAAGGCAACACTCTATTTTCCCTGAGTGTATGTTGTGTGCGCCCAAGGGAACCAGGACCTCTCTGCAGTTTAGATACGCTTGATGTATCCCAGTGTGCTATGGGCATTAACTTATCTCTACAGTTTGTATATGCTGGGTGACTATCTTCTGCTATGTTTCTTACCATTTCAGTTTATCATTGGCTCCTGATGAAAAGGTTGAACTTTTGATGACCTCACCCATTTCCTCCCGGCAGAAGCTGAAATTGTTTATGGTCCACATGTACGAAAACTTTACCACCTTAATCTGAAGATTCAAAACAAAGAAGCAATTCAGGGTCATGATTGTGCACAATGAGCAGGTAGAGGGGAAGAACTGAAATAACCTCATCACTATGTTACTAATCCAAGGACAGCATTAAGATCTGCCCACACCCATGACTGCACTGCACAGCAACCTATGGAGGGTTCTGCCAAGGCACTTGACTTTCTCTCGTGCGTGTGAAAAGTAACCCAAGGGAAGCAAAAACGAATCTAATTCTATAATAGCTGCATGTCCAAAATGGACCATCACAACTTTTTCAGTCTACCTCAGGAAGTTACATAAAAGTGAGACAGGAAGGAAGGAAGGAAGGAGATAGAGTGACACTAGCCTCCCTCTGACCTGACTCAGCCCATGCTGCTTCCATTCATAGGCAGATCCACAAGAAAAAACAGTGAGTTTAGAGATGGAGCAGTCTAAATATTTGTAACTAAAATCTGATGTAGTCCTAGTTGCATTGGTTTAGTTAGTTGATAATTAGACTTTCACCTCTGAAAACCTGGGCTCTAAATTTGTTTAGATCACCAAGCTTCTTTTTGTATGGTGTAATCTTAGTAAACTCTGACCATCTGAGCACACTGTGAATTTACCTGAGTGTAGCACCAGCTTTCTGCTACAGGTCCACTCGACATTTCTGCCGGAGGAGGAGGACTCGGAACCCTTGACATCGCCAGTTTGAAGATTAAACAGGATTTCACAATTCAGCGAAAGAAATAGCTATGCTGTCTTCACCCTACCTGGCCCCCAAAAAGGAGAAAATAGCAATTCCATTAGAACTTGCAGGACATTTTACTCAGAGTAAAAACAAAACAAGAAGTCACACTCACCCCCTCCTTTCAGCACCTTTAGACAGACGCACATTAGGGTGTCTACGCAGCATCCAAGGTGTGACTGCACCTTGAGTAGACGTATCAGCACTATTAAAAATAGCAGCGTAGATGCAGTGGCATGAGCTTCAGCGTGGACTAGCAATGGAAGTACATACCCAGGGTCCAACGTGAGCTATACAAACACGCCAACAGCGTATCTACACTGCTGTTTTTAGCAGTATAGATATGGGAAAAGCTGGCACAGGTATGTCTACCCAAGCTGCAATTGCACCTCTGACTGCAGTGTAGACATACGCTTAGAAAGAGGGAAATCTGAGACAGAGACCATATTCACTCATGCTTTCAATATATGAACTCTCGATAGGAACAAAACCAGAATATGGACCCTACCCCTAGACTAGAGTAGGGCACTCCCTGCTTGACCTGGATTTATTGTTATTCATCTGGTCTAGATGACCTCCTGAGGTCTCTTCCAACCCTAATATTCTATGATTCTATTATTCTCCTAGACCAGGGGTCGGCAACCTTTCAGAAGTGCTGTGCCGAGTCGTCATTTATTCACTCTGATTTAAGGTTTCGCGTGCCAGTAATACATTTTAACGTTTTTAGACTGACTCTTTCTATAAGTCTATAATATATAACTAAACTATTGTTGTATGTAAAGTAAATAAGGTTTTTAAAATGTTTCAGAAGCTTCATTTAAAATTAAATTAAAATGCAGAGCCCCCCGGATCGGTGGCCAGGACCCGGGCAGGGTGAGTGCCACTGAAAATCAGCTCGCGTGCCGCCTTCGGCACATGTGCCATAGGTTGCCTACCTCTGTCCTAGACTATTGATTAAGGTCCCTGACATTTATTTCTCATTTTTCTTCTGGCACAGTCCCAAACTGATATACGGCAGTGTGAGAAATGGAGTTCCTGATCTGAGTAGAACATACACAATTTAGTACATAATCCAAACTTATTCCAATTGTGGGGTTTGGCTTTATTGGTGGTTGAAGCACCAACAACACAAAAAACTTCAGCCTAACCTTTCTCTTAAAACTCAGCTGGTCCCTTTGCTTAGAGGGAGGGAGGGAGGGACGGAGGACAGACACACACACCCTTTCTTTATATGCTGGTGACGTTTACAACCCACAACTACCATGAGTTGTCAGCAGAATTTACTCAGCTGCTGTACAGGATTGTGAAAAAACCCACAATTGTTCTGTAAATGAACAACCCACTTGTTTTGCACCCCCTAGGTTTTAATTAGGATTTTCTCTTATTAATTAGGATTTTCTCTTATTTTGTGTGGAGGGGGGACCCTAGGGAGTTGGGAGGATTCATTAAAAAAAAGTGCACCAAAACTTTACCTCATAAACATTTGCATTAACACATGTATTTCAATGTTTTATTTTTAATACACCTCTACCCCGATATAACGCTGTCCTCGGGAGCCAAAAAATCTTACCGTGTTATAGGTGAAACCGCGTTATATCAAACTTGCTTTGATCCGCCGGAGTGTGCAGCCCCGCCCCCCTGGAGCACTGCTTTACCGCGTTATAGCCGAATTTGTGTTATATCAGGTCGCGTTATATCGGGGTAGAGGTGTACTAGAAACAATAGGATCTAGCTTTCATTCACAGATTGAAATTATGCTGAAAAGTTAAGAGAGAAGTGGTAATGACATATGGGTGGTTCTTATGCTTATTAAAAACAATGAGAAAGTTATACAACTAACAAGAAATTTAGAGAAAAGGGATGGAGGTACTAGTGACTGGAGAAGGGGTGTGGCCAGTTTGTTGACTCAACTGTTATTGAATGTTCACAAGAGGAGAGTGGGAAATGTTACAAGGACTTGCTTTGCAAGGATCTATAAGCTTCCGGAAGGTGGTCAGGGCACTTGGAACCATAGTTCTATTTAAAGCTGGCTTTATTTTGCAGTTTTCATATGGCTGAATTCACTATGCGGTTGTTTCTCATTCTAATTGCAGTAAATATGGAAGCTGCTGGTCAATACAGTGAACCGAAGATTAGTGTTTAGTAATGTATCTGATTTAACGTCTCTGAAGTTGAAGGAAGCGGTAAAACAAAAGCAACTGATTACACAGTGGACGCTGCTTAATAATAATCCTATTAACAACAACTGGTTAATAGCAACATTGTGCTGGGAACCGATCCCTTCCCACCGACTCTAATGTTAATGGGACTTAAGTCACATGCCTGTTGCCAGGATCCAACTCACAACTTTTTGATGTGCCTTCCCTGGCTGCAGCCTTACAAACCTGCCTGAGGCTGCAGGCAAGGCAACAGAGGGACAGGGGGCTGAAGCCCAGATGCTGGGGATCCAGAGGGCTACACAGTACCTCTCTGGGCTGCATCCTGCTCTTGTACTTGGGCCCTGGGTTTGGCAAATCCCAGCACTTCCTTCCTGGGCTGCAGACAGGGATGGAAGAGCTGGGATGTGCCCTCCTTGGCTGCAGCCCCACAAACCGTGCTGCTGCCCTGCTCACAGCCTTCCCTTCGAGCTGCAGCCAAGTCTGCAGGGCCGCAGCCAGGGAAGGAAGTGCTGGGACATCCCAACCACTAGTAGCAGGCAGGATTGCAGTGCTGCATTCAGGGAAAGCACACCCTAGCGCTTCCTTCACCAGCTGCAGCCATGCAAATCTATTTTCCTCTTACTGGCAACGTTTAGATATATATCAGCTTTTTTGCTGGGAACCAACAGGTTGCTAAGTAGTGAATTCTACTGTATTCAATAAAAATATTCTTGCAATGTAAAATGTAAACATTGTCAAGAGTTGTTAAGTAACAAGCTTAAAAAGGGACTCTTGCTCATTTTAAGAAGTGCAGAAAGTCAGCTTATTCAAGATCAAATGTGCCATAACAAAACTGCTTAGTAAAGCAGAAGAACAAAATATGGATATGTTTGATGAGCCTCAAGTGAGACACGTTGACTATCACTGCTGTAATCAAAAAGACAACCAATATAATAATTTAAGTCCCTGTTCCAGGCTTCCAGCAGCTCTTCAAGATTAGTTTCATTCAGTAGCAGTGTCTGCCATATTTGACACCCAAAATATGACAAAAAATCAGTCTGATTATCTCATTAAAAAACCCAACCACAACTGAAAAGCAAGTGACTTGGACTTGGACAAGGAAGCTGCAGCTTTTTTTTTTTTATGCTAACAGCATCAACTTCAATGTGGCACAAAATGAGCAATTTAAATAAGTAACTAAAGCACTCTGTCCAAGATTCACTCCTTCGGAAAGATTGAAAATTGCAGGTCCACTGCCTGATTTTTCAAGTGAAGTAGTAAAAGAAATAGCATCCACATTAATGCAAGATGATTGATCAAAAACAGCTACAAGCATTCTTATAGGAGAATTTGCATTCCTTCATAATGGTATTGATTGTGTATAAAAAGAACAGTATACAATATTGTGCCCAACTTCACGAAGATGCCATTGAAGAACGCAAAGGTACAGAAAAATCTTACTAAATTGATTGCATAATGAAAATAACTGTGTGCTTTTGATTGTACAGTGTCTAGCACAATAGGGACCCAAGGGACTTAATCTTCAGACATATGGGTGTTCAGAATTATTTAGGCTTTATTTTCTCAACACCACCACCTAACAGTCCTACAGCATGCTGCAGATGCTCAGATTATTCTGTAACTACCATCAGCTTCATGGTTGATTGAAAAAGAAGGACGGATGTCCCTGCTTTCCGGTGACATTCAGAGGAATTCTCAGGAAGATTGTGTCTCTACATTTGTATTTAACAACCGTATATTGAAATTTGCATTGAGCATGTGGACTACTTTGATCAAAACATAGCATATCTCACACAACAAGCAATTCCATAGCGAGGTTCTAAATTTACAAGAGCAATTGAAACTAGTTTTGGAGGGACTGGACAGATCTCAGGCTGATGACACTACTCTCTCAGGCCTGGTCTACACTACAAACTTAGGTTGACATAAACTGCATTAAGTCGATCTAATAATATATGTGTCTATACTACCAAGTCCATTCCGCTGACCTAAGTGGCCACTAAAGTCGACTTCTGTATTCCTCCTCCATGAGAGGCAAAGCGCTTGATTCGACATCCACGGGTCGACATGGGGATAGTGTAGACATGGCGTTGTGTAATTTTAATGAATTGGCCTCCAGGTGTCGTCCCACAGTGCTCCGCTGTGACCCCTCTGGAAAGCACTTTCAACTCCACTGCACGTCAGCCAGGTACACAGGAAACAGCTTCTCCCCTGTGAAAGCCCTGAGAACTTTTGAATTTTCATTTCCTGTTTGATCAGTGTGGAGCGCTCACCAGCGCATCTGATCATGGAGCCCTAAAGCCGCAAAAGCGCTCCAGCATGGAGTACACAGGAGATGGCAGATCTTATTGCTGGGTGGGGAGAAAAGTCTGTACAGGCACAACTCCTATCAACAGAAGAAACGCGAACATCTATGCTAAGATTGCGCGGGGCATAGGGGACACCAGCAGTGCTGCGCGAAAATAAAAGGAGCTTTGGCAAGCGTACCAGAAGACAAGGGAGGTGAACAGTCGTTCTGGTTCTGCCCCACAGACATGCTGCTTTTATGAGGATCTGCATGCGATTCTCAGCGGTGACCCCACCGCTACCCCGAAAGTCTCCGTCGATACCTCTCAGGAGCCCTGGGTACCTTGAGCAACAACGAAGAGGACATTGTTGACGAGGAAGATGAGGAGGAGGAGAATGTGAGGCAGGCAAGTGGAGGATCCATTCTCCCTGACAGCCAAGAAGTGTTTTTAACCCTGGAGCCCATCCCTTCACAGGACCAGTTGGCAGCAGAGCCTGAGGCCGTGGAAGGCACCTCTGGTGAGTAAACGTTTCTAATCAAAGTGTAGACGTTACATGCTTTTATTTTTTTATGTTTAAT